AACAGTTCAACACAAAATCTCAAAGAAGGGAAAACAAACAACATATCAACAACTCAACATAATTGACAGCTGCATCCATTTGCTCGGTCCAAGCCCCCTCCTCCTGCTTTTTCCACTCTGTTCTTCCAACACCATTTCCTCTTTTAATTATCCCCCAGCAAAAAGATGGAGCACATCAGACGCATCGCGGTAAATCCTGGCCCTGGCACAGGCTCATAGTGGCTCCTGCGTCTGGCAATCCCGATAGAGCCTGTGCGCTGGCAGTGACAAGAGAGGGAGGATGCCTGGAGATTTTCTGACAGAAAGAATGGAGAGGATGATCTCTCAGCAAAAGAGAGGTCCTCATTCTACTCCCGGCGTGGGAGGCTTTTTGGCGAGCGCTTTCCGATCATACCACATTTTCAGCACCAGATTAGCCAGTTCTCAGGAGCAAAACTCACACAGACCCCCTTGTTTACACCTCAGTACCACAGTGTTTTTGTAATGACTGTTCAGTAAAAAGAGCACATTGGAGGCACTGCAAGCACGGCTGCTCTCCTATCTCTCCCTACAACATTTTAGGGGTGAGACTTATTGTATATAGCAGGGTCAGAGAGACCGTGGTTTGGATTAAGGGAATATGATTTGTTTTGAATTGAAAGAAGTCTCCTCTGACCTGAAATGTGTTTTACTGAGCGAATTGCACATTCACATTCTAATTAGGTATCAGCTTACACGAATGGGTTTTTCGTTTGGAAGCCGGATAGATGAAAAAGGTTGCAAGTTAACTAGTGCTGGGGCTGCTATCTGTCAAAGTTTTCTCCCATCTCTGTGGGGTGCACATCAATCACAGAGGTCCCCAACTGACAGTCATTCTGCGGGCTAATAGTGTCGTCATCTCCCACGCGATTACACAGATTGCACAATGAGATCCTCGGACACAATGGAGCTGCAAATCTAGCCCCCCACTCTGTTCCCTTCTCCTTTCCTTTTCTTCCATCATTCCGAGATGAAGAGTGGAATGCTCCACAGCGGGTAGCTTTCTTCTCCTCCGGGGGGAACTGAGGAAGCAGGCAAGGGCCTCTGTGATGTTACTTTCCCTTCAGGGTGGGGAGGAGATGTCTTGTAGCGCAGCTAAAGATGATCATTTGAGAGCCTGTGAAACAAGGTTCCCCTCTGGAAGCCACAGAGACGTGGGGAGAGCCAGGGTCCCAGCTAATGAGTTAGGGTTAGCTGATGTTCCTCGGTGATGAAAACGAGAACAGTGACATGATGGTAGTGGTGTTTTTTTCCCCCCCAGTTTAGGCATTGTATTGCAACTTTGTTACATGAATCTCTGAATGCAAAGGTCAGAGGCCAGCGTTGGAGGTGGTAGAGTCCCGCTGAAAGACACCTTAGAGAAGCAAACGCTTGCTCCTGCACCACGCAGAGCTTGACCATGTGCTATCCAGCCAGCTGCTGCCCTCTCGCATCAAGGCCCAGTACAAAGATTCCACATTTAATAGGCGTGATGAAAGAAATCATTAATCTATGACTGAAAGTATGAGGAAAATCTAAACATTTGTTTCTTACATGCTCTGATAAAACCTTTTCTCCTGGAGTAAATATTTGCTGGAGAAACTCACAAAACAAAACAACATCCCATCTGATAATCAGCCACAATTACGCTGCACACTGTGATGAAAGGATATCAATGATCTACTTATGTCATAGAAAAAGAGTGCAGCTTCAAACATGAAAGCCATTGAAGCCGATGAGAGTTTCAAGTCAATGAATGATCAAAGAAGCAAAAGCTTATCTATGCTGTTCCTTAACACTGAAACAGTGTCATATGGCTGTGGATATGCTTCCACAGTTGCAGTGTTTTTGCCCAGGAACATAATGGCTATTGTGCTTTCTGAAACTATTTGCCTTTTTCACACAGTCAAAGCTGCAAAAAGCGCACAAAGTGGAGAGGGGGCACGAGCCCTTTATCCCGATGAAAGGCTAAAGGATGAGACTGACCTTTCTGGCATCAGCTGGGCTTTGGGAACACAATACATGGCGGCAACTCTTTCTGGCCTTTTCCCCTTCAGCTCTGGGCTATGCTTACAAGCCAAAGACTCAAGTCCAAACATCTATCATTTTATACAAAGACTCAAACACACAGATGCCCCAAACCCCTCCTTTTACATCACACAAACACACACACATACACACACTGAGCAGTTCTGTCTGTACATCTGCAAACAGACCGGTCTCGTCTGGCATCATAGTACAACTGCAGGCTATGGAAGCAAAGAGAGACAACATATCACTGTAGATTACATCAACACAAAAGCTTGACTCAGTCCACAGTATCAACACCACTCTCCTTTAACAGGAATTGAATAACAATTACATGGCGACCTGCACACACTCAGGGAATCATAACTTACTTAAAACGCGACTGAATGAAAATTAACGTTTGCCACACATGCAAGACATGAAATGAAAATCCTGACATGGTTAAGTACTAGTTTAGAGAGTGCCCCCCAAAAATGACCTAACCCACTGTATACTTTAAAAGCTTTGTTGCTGGGGGGCCACATACCTAAAGGGCCTTTGTGTGATATTTCAAAAGGCTGCATCAAAAAGGTCATGGGGGAACAAGGGTCATACAAACACAGAATAGCACTTGTGTGGTGTTCAGTTTTTTGTTTTTTTTTTTGGCCAGGGGTGGGGGGGGGGTTGTCAATTCTATAGGTAAACTCTAGCAGACAGGAGATAAGGTACCCGTGGGCTGTTGGACAAAGGGAACAGTAGTTCTGAAAAGGTAAAGAGTAGTAGTCCCTGACGTGTCAGAGGCCTCATCGTCAGTGGGAGAGTATAAAAGGACCTGCAAGTGTGTGCTATGGTGCGCTAAACATCCACAGTCCTGCAACCATGGGAAAGGTATGAGCTCACATGTAATATGGCAACAGCTTTGACGGAGAGGCAAAGAAGGAAAATGGCAGGGAACATGTGTCAGGTGTTGTAACCGGGAAAGAGAATGCAGCAAAGGGTGAAGAGAGATACTCAGAAAGGACTGATACAAGTAAAAATATTAGCTATAGAAATATAAGGTGGACTGCTAACTTCTGAGGACTTAATTTAAGGGGGGAAAACACACTTAGAGGTGTTTAAAATGGAAGGTTTAGCAATTATATGGCATCCAATCATGACAGATTCATTGTAGTTGTATGACAGTAACAACAAAGTTGACAGCATCTTCAGATTGGACGAGCGTTCGATGAGTTCTTTAAATAAAAGTCAGCTCAAACAATAGTTTCAATCGCCTTGATTTTCACCTGTCAAGCTCGGAAAATAATATACAAGTGTATACTGCAGACAGGAGAGGCTTGTTCACTCGAAGGACTCATGAAAAAGTAATTGTTCAAGGGAGAGCAGTGTCCCCTACAGTCCTTCCATGAACATTGCAACTGGTGCATTTACATGCCTGAGATTATATTGAGTGATATGTGCTTCTCTCTGACTTTTTTTAGATAATTTTCTACGAAGGCCGCAACTTCCAGGGCCGCCACTGGGAGTGCAGCAGCGACTGCATGGACACCTTCAGGCACTTCAACTGCTGCAACTCCATCCGTGTCAGCGGCGGGCACTGGGTGGCCTACGAGAAGCCCCACTACATGGGCTACCAGTACATCATCGGCCCTGGCGAGTACCCCGACTACCACTGCTGGATGGGCTTCAACAACTGCATCCGCTCCTGCCAGATGTACCCCCCTGTAAGTCAATCAAACAGGAAGATAGAATTGGTAGTCCCCCCCCGACCCTCCAACCCACCCCCGCTGCTCACCTTGTACATCAAATGCCGCTTTAAAAATGGATGTCAATCACCGGCCTTTTGATGTCATTAACAGATACTCAGGCAGGTCATAGCATAAAAGTGTCTGTTGCAAGGCCCACAAGGAGACCCAGTCAGTCTTTAAAAGGAATATGATACACCCCCCATAAGACTTGGTGCCTTCATTCTAATTCTGTTAGTCACATTGAGTGTTTCTGGCAGTTAAGGAAGGGCGGGGGGGGGATCAAATTCTGTCATGCTCCGAAAGAGTTGTAGCTTATTCTCATCTGTAGTTACTTAAGGAAGTAGTACTCACTTGAATTCAAGATATCAGCTCGGGGCTGAAAGCAAAGTGCTCTCTAGGGTTCTACCTAAATAGCATTATAATCATGCTCTGGTTTATTTTACACACAGTATAGAGGATCCTACAGGATGAGGATCTACAACAGGCCTGACATGATGGGACAGACAATGGAGTTCATGGATGACTGCCCCAATGTGTATGATCGCTTCCGCTTCCGTGACATTTACTCCTGCAACATCATGGAGGGTTTCTGGATCTTCTATGAGCACCCCAACTACAGGGGACGCCAGTATTTCATGCGCCCCGGAGAGTACAGGGCCTGTGGTGACTGGGGCTGCCACAACCCCATGGTGGGCTCATTCAGGAGGATGAGGACTGTCATGTAAAGTCTACCCATATGCAGATTGAATTAAAAACTTGATTTTCAAATAACCGTGTGTTCTGTGAGTTTATTTGAACAAATCCATGCAACATTTAAACACAAGTCTGAAGTATAATAACACTCACTGGTCAAGCAGCTCATTTGCTTCCTGTTTAAAAAGCCTGCTGCTCCTTAATGATCTATATCACTGTCAAACACCTACTGCAACAAACCAAACCTTTCCTCTTTGCTGCCCTGCCTGTGCGCACAGTCCGTGCGTAGGTTTCTGGCTGTCATGCCAATAAAGGCAGATGTTGCAACTCTTATTGTGGCCCTTTGAGAAAGTGCAGTTGTACAGTATTTTCCATAGACGGACAGAGCTTTGACAGAGACAAAGCGGCCGCTGCAGCTCACCAGTCCTATAGTGTTCGGCCGTCTATACAGCCTGCTGTGCTGACACGACAAAGCATTGTTCCACATTTGCAAAGCCCTGATCCCAGCAGGGTCTATAAAGAGGTCTGGTACAGCCTGACATCTGGTCTGGTCTGAATTTAACACAGTTACAATGGGCAAGGTAAGCATGCAATTCAAATCTATACAGTAAAAGCAGCTTAAACAGTCTGATGTGTAGTGTTTATAATTTGTATCTAAGGGGTAAAAAATGGCAGTTAATTCTCAAACTTCTGTGGGTAGAAATGTGATAGTCAGTAGCTCTAAAGGATTGTTTACCATAATTATAACATGAAGGGAAATTGCGGTAAATTTTTAATCAATAGAATTAAATAACATGCTAAATAAAAGCTGCATAATAAGAGCATTATTATACTTAAATCATAGCATTGTCTTCTGTTGAAGACTGTAAAAAAATTGCAATTATTCAACCGAGCTTGGAGTGAATTAATTCCTGTAAAAATAGGCCAAGACTTTTTCTTTTCATTAAAATATACCACATGCTTTTCTGTATTGTGTTAAACTTTGCTTCTGGTACATCATTCGGGACATATTTTTCAAACTCCCTTAAGCTCATCTATTCCAAAATTCTTCACTTGTAGTTATTCTGTACAAAAACTTTGTTGGATAAAGCCAACTTGCAAACCTGGCTCAGAATACCAAATGGTATGGTTATGAAACTAAATGAGACTAAAAGTTCAAGTTATTATTGTGTTAAGAGTCTGAAGAGCTGGAGGACACAATTATTCATGCATAAACAGTGTGTAATAGTTTGTCTTTAGCATAGCCCTGTGGTGATTATGTCTGCCCATCCATCACTTGCAGATTATCTTCTACGAAGACAGGAACTTCCAGGGTCGTCACTACGAGTGCAGTAGTGACTGTCCTGAGATGCAAAACCACTTCAGCCGCTGCAACTCGATAAAGGTGGACAGCGGTTGTTGGGTTGCCTACGAGAAGCCCAATTATGGCGGCTACCAGTATATGCTGCACAAGGGCGAGTATCCCGACTATCAACGCTGGGCAGGCTTCAATGACTGCATCCGCTCCTGCCGTATGGTGCCACCTGTGAGTTTTTAACTGATGCCTTACCCTGTTTGCAGCAGAGTTTTCACTAAAGCCTTTCTGTAGAAGTGCCAGTTTGGGATCATTTAGTTCTCGAGCCTAGTCCTGCTGTTTTCACCAGTCTGTGCCAGTACCTGTGGCTATTTTAAAGCATCTCTTTCTAGCTTGACCTGTAACTGCAGTGAAAAAAGTGTCAAGAAATAAAGAAAACTATAGACTGGGTCATTGGATCACAACAAGTTTAGTGCAAGAAAAAAGTTTGTTACTCTACTGTGGTTATATAAAGTTAAATGTCAGCGTCATCTCTCATAATTTCATCCCTAGTATAACGGGAACTACAGGATGAAGATCTTTGAGCGCTCTGACTTTGGAGGCCAGAATCTGGAGCTAATGGATGACTGCCCAGATCTGCATGAGCGTTTCCATACCCGTGACATCTCCTCCGTCAATGTCATGGAGGGCTACTGGATGCTGCATGAACACCCCAATTACAGGGGACGTCAGTACTTCTTGCGTCCTGGAGAGTACAGGAGGCACAGCGAGTGGGGAAGCACCAGCCCCACCATCGGATCTCTGAGACGTGTCACTGAGGTCAACTGATTCCCGGCATCTTCTGTTTTTTTAACCCTTATTGAGCCCCACTGTCAAACATCCCACCCTCTTGTCCCCCCTAATGCCAGCACTGTTTCAGTGTGGTCTCAACATTGTGGTGTCCAAACCTGAAATCATACGGAGGGTTTTGGTGTGTTTGATGTTGGGTTCTGGTTTTGTTGGGTTGCTTTGCATTGTTGGGTAAAGTTCCTCCCCAACTCAAGAAATGCTCAATAAATAGTGATGATCTTTTTTGCTTTGGTCGTCCCAGAGCAAAATGGTTTGCCTCGCCAGGTCCCCAACCTCCTGTCCTACTGGAATCACAATAAAAGAAAACTTGATGAAAGTCAACTAAAGGGAGCCTTTGTTAATTTTCTATTGACTACTACAGCTGTCACTATAAAAAGATCAGGGGGATATGGCTTTTCATAAATCTGAGGAATATTTTCTCTTTAGTATAGTGATTGAACTTTCATCAGGCCACAGAGTTAGATAGAAGTGTAACCACCGAGGTCCTAGACCAAGACCGAGAGTTTCTACAGTTTGCCGTGATATCGTCATTCCACATACACAAAGAAAAATTATCAAGGAAACAGAAGCTTATTCTTTGAAGTTCAATATTAAAGACCAAAAAAGGGTATCTGAGGATGAGCATGTAGGAGTCTTTATGAGATCACATGGTACAGAGTAAGCGCGTTGAGTCCATGAAAGATGCCCATATTAGATCCACATCACAGGGCCAGTGCCAACTCAAAGAGTTAGAGTCAAAGTGGCCTGGTATTAGCCCCAAGCATCAAGCTCTCTCAGAACAAAAAACAAAACCCAGTCCACATCCCTGCTCATGCATTTTTCATCAGCCTAAGATACTGAACCCTTTCAGAAATAAATATCAATTATTGAAATTGTTAATTAGATGCTGCGTAATTGGCAAAGATACACATGAATAAATAACTTTGACCATTAATTATTGATTCAAAAAAATGTGAAGCCCAGCGGGGAGTGCATTTGAGAGTCTCTTAAGATCAAGCACAACAAGAAATATGAGTTTTGGCCTTGAGTAATGTCCAATTAAAGGATTGTCGGCTTTGCTGTACAAGTCCGGTGATTTGTCCTCATCATCCTTTTCATATCTGTGGACAACAATACCCAGCAGACAACACATCAACAGGGTGCAACATGGGATCTGATCAGCTGGAGTCTGGGGGCAATGCCAGATAAGAGATGAGAGGAAACTTACAGGCTGCCAGGCCTCAGCCTTAAATGGAAGCTAATCTCAGGTCATGAAGGGGCAGCAGCTTCAAATATTAACCAAATTCAGGGAGCACTGTAGACTTCCACGAAGAAAACAAGTCTGTGGTCATTTATGTTTCAAGTTTACGGTTAAAACCCTGCAAACTTCACACAAAAACAACAGTAAACGTAATCAAATATTCAGTATAGTTGTGATGCAAAATCTACTGCATTTTCTACTTATAGCATCATTGAAATCCTTAGTTCAGTTAGTTTTAAGGAGCCATAAAGTTGGAACATGAGCAGAGGACAAAACTGGGGTGATCAAAAACAGCATGAAGATATAAATTAGGTTCATGACTTGGATTCAAATGTGTATAGCTGCTAATAGTAGCAGATAATATTTTTAAGCACTGACCCCTCGGTGCACCGAGCCTTAATTTTGGTCGACAAAGTACATTTTTTGTGGCCCAAATGTAAACTTACATAAAAACAATAGCTCACAGAAAACGTAATGTTAAGGTTTCATGTTTCTCTTAACAGAAACTCTCCTGCTGTGTTTAGCTACGTCAGCTGTTAGCTCTATTAGCTCGGTCAGCAGTTAGTTCTATTAGCTCAGGTAGCTGTTAGCTCTATTAGCTCGGTCAGCAGTTAGTTCTATTAGCTCAGGTAGCTGTTAGCTCTATTAGCTCGGTTAGCTGTTAGCTTTATTAGTTCAGTTAACTGTAGCTCTATTAGCCCAGTTATAGGTTAACTCTATTAACTCAGTCAGTTGTTAGCGCTTTTAGGTCAGTTATAGGCTAGTTCTATGAGCTCCGTCAGCTGTTAGCTGAAAGCAAATGTAAACTTATATATTAAAAAAAAAAAGCTTACAGAAAAAGTAATGTTTAATGTTTCATGTTCCTCAACAGAAACTTTAGAAATTAGCTGTTAGCTCTGTTAGCTGAATTAACTGTTAGCTCTAGGGGCAGCACGGTGGTGTGGTGGTTAGCACTCTCGCTTGATGATTTTCAATCATCACCGTGATGGCGGGACGCCGATAATCTTGAGCCCTGGCTAGCCGACGACGAGTACTGTTTGCGGTTTTCGTTGAAGGTTGAATTAAAAGGTGATTTTAGAGGGCATTTTATTTACTGTATTTAACCTTTATATAGACAGGTGACCTCAATGAGACACGTGGTTTCATTCTCAAGAGAGACCCAATAAATCTGTGACCAATCTGGATTTAACAGAGAATTTTGAGAACCTGATACACAGGGTTGCAGTTTATTGCCAATATGTGATCATTTCAATGCAAAACCCACTACTCAGCAGAGGCAATTCAGTCAGTAACCTGACAATGGAAGCCTTCCACATCACAACAAAACACTCCTAAGTGTCCTGTTATTTCTTAAGTAGAAAACTGGTGATAATGCAACAACTGGGTATACACACTTACACCTGAACAGCTGCTGATATTGTAGCAAACAACTTTGATGCATGTGATATTGCAAAATACAATCCTATGAAACACCACGGATCAAAGAGGCAATACTCAATGTCCCTGGATTGTTCCATCTCTACCTCAAGTCATTTAGATGATATTTTCAATCGCTTCACACATAAAAAGGACAAAAGAGTGAGATCCGAGTTTTGTCTCCCTCTTCATCTCTGAACCCTTTGGACTCTGTGATGGGAAGCTGATTGAAGGGTAAGTAGTGCGTTTTAGAGAATGAATTCTTTAGATGCTGGAAGAGAGAAAGAAAAACGAAAGAAACAGAGAAACCCAGAACATAAGCCTGTGATTCCATTATTAGTCTCAGTTCTCCTTCTCCCTCTTTTCATTTCTGATGGCTGGATAATTAAACCTCTATAGTATTGTCTTCCATCTTCCTTGCCCCACTTCCAGCAATGCGAATTCCCCTATGGGCAACTTTAAAAAGGCCCTTTTTAGACATCTGTTTTTCAGATCAGCACGACTTTTTTTCCCCCATTAATTTGTGTTCTTTGTGAAAGTAGAAAGACTAGTGCCAGGACAGAGATGAACATACGTGTAACAAAAAAAAAAACAATCCACAACATTTCAAGCGCAAAAATCAAAGACAGTAAGAAAAATATCCAAATAATCTTTTTCAACATTTTTTTTATTCTACAATACTGCTATTATACAACCCAAACCAATCCTTAAGTGTGGATTGCAAGACATCAGATAGGAGCTCAGAGGCTGGAATGTTACAGAGCTTAATTTAAAAGCAGTCGCGTTCTCCCCTCCAGCTTGAAGGAGGCAGCTTGTCAATTACTGTTCCCGCTCTGACAGAGGCTCTGGGCGCCACGATGAACAAGCAGGAAAGCAGCAAAGCATGGAAAAATGAGCACAACTTGTAACAATGATCAAATAAATAAAAAATGGTAAATAAAATGGATGCATAAAAGCGTTGTAACTATAATGCAATTAAATAAAAAATGGTATATTTCTTATACTTTTGTATAAATGTTCATGATGGCACAAATTCTCATAATGTAATTAAATTTTAATAGAGGAAATCTGAATGTGTAACACACCAGGGTTTGGTTTAACTGAGAGAAAGCTCCTTTTTCTACTATTAAATGCCAACTTGTGGTGTCTGAAATTAACAGTACTATCACCTTATTCGATTGAAATACCTGTACATTTACATATGGAAAATTCAGCCTGAAATTACAGCAAGAAAAACTGATGTTACATGAACAAAGAGAGCACTTAAAGTACAGTCAGAATGAACCATGAGGCAATGAGCCAAAGCAATCAACTAAAATAAAACTGGGCCTTACTGTTATATATGTACAATTATAGCAGGAACTTATTTTTGGATTTATTTTCATATAAATTACATATATTTTAGAAAAAATATAATATGCCCATCATAACACTGTTTATTGGCTACAGAATAACCATTATTCGCACAATTAAATTTGCAAAGTAAGTGCAGACTGGTATAGAGGATTAAGAATACTTTGATATTCTGTTTTCTCACACACATTTTAAAGAAATGAAATGTTTCTGTGAATTAGCACCACTTTCAGAATCATGTCCTGAGATTGCACTTTTGAAAAATTATTTCAAGCACTTCAGTTTCCTTTGACACATGTATGATACATAGTGTGTATTCACTTTGTCTTAACGAAAGCAACCTTAGTTAACGTCCTTCTTGTTCATAGTTTCTCCAATCAATGCATTATTGCCAAAGTACTGTGATTGTCACATACAGTCCTGCAGGAGCCTATGAGGGTAAGGCTATTAAACGAAGGCTGGCACATGCACGGTAAAATCAGGGGCTGTATCACAAAGCATCTTAGACCTTAAAAGAGCTCCTAAGGTGAAAAATTGTCAGGAGCAGGGAGGAGGACTTTTAAGAGGCTTATGAGTTTCTTAATCAGAGGAGAAAATGGTGGAAACACAAAGACGTCAAAGAAATATTATTCAAACACTGGATGACAGCGAGTAAATTAAATGCTGCAGATCACATTGTGCAGGGATGATATGTAGGGTTGGTCTCACTGGGGATACACACACATTTCCCAACCAACGCTATAACCCCAGAAATAAAATAATAGTAAAATGACAACACTGAGATATTAGATTGAACACACTAACAATGACAACACAAAGTCAGCAGTTCATTTAATTTCCACTGGGTGTCCACACCCTGCAGGCCCACAAAAGGGTGTCTGTGACAACCAATCACACCTGTTAAAAAAGTGTCATACCTAGCAACGGGTCAACCACACCTCTTCACTAAGGTAAAAGTCTCTGTCCCTTCCTTGCTCAGAGTTGCTCTGAGAACCTTCCTAAATCACTCCTAAGCTAGGACTCCTTACTCAAAATGTTTAGGTTGTGTTAAGAGCTCTCTGAGAGGATTGTCAGAATGTTTGAACACCACCTCTGGTCTGCACTTGCTAAAAGGCGGAATAGTTGGTGCTCTATTTTAGGAATGACTCATTTTTTCACTAAGGCGTCTGTAGTCAGCCGTAGGTAGGAATGTATTTTCAAAAAAAGATGTAGAATTAAAATTCTGTAAATCAAATGCTATCCATTCAAGTGCACCGGAAAAGTCTGTCAAGCCAAGCGCACCCAAGGAGGCTAGACTACCTGATCGGAGACCATTGCTTCATTTCTAACGATGCCTGCTGTATCTCTCCAGCATCGCAGCTCCAGTTACACAACATAAGTATCGTACCACATAGCTCCCGTGGGGTCAAAAGCCATGTCCCAGCCTTCATTTAACAGCCTTGTATGAGGTTGACTTTACCCATCTTATATAAAAGAATTATAAGCTGAGGTAGAATTTCTAACACTGTAAAGTCTTAGTACCAGTCTGAAGTCTGAACAGGGACAACTTTCTGAATGTGCTGATAAAAAGGATAAAAAGGTGTGTTGAGCTTCTCTCTCCATGCTGTGTGCTTCAGAGCTTTAAAACAATGACATCAGCCATTATCTGCAACAAGGCCCCGGGGGGGAGCTGCTGGCTGGCAGTGTAAACCATACTGACCAAAGTTAAGGCCATGTGAGTGCTGTCAAAGTCTCTGGTCTAGTTGCTGTCCCTTTGCCCGGCGAGAGGCTGCCCGACAGGCAGGTTTTCATGGAGGTACTTCATGGTACCCTGCTCAGAGAAGTCGGCTGCTGTGTGCCCGTCGCCTCTCAGGACCCACTTGGTGGTGAGCAGCCCCTCCAGGCCAACAGGGCCTCGGGCATGGATACGAGCTGTGCTTATACCTACCTCTGCTCCTGGAGACAGAAGAAGATAGGCAGCAAGGGAGAATAGTAAACACCATATGACGTGTTGAGAGAGTGCAGTTATTTGAGAGACAAATGATAATATGTAAGAATATGTAGGCTGTTGAAAAGACAACCTGTCCAATACAGATACTTGGTCAGCGGCCATCACGGATGATGCATAGAGCATCACCGTATGTGACACACCGAGGCAAGCAACATCTGTAGTATAGAGAGCAAGGTGGATGGGAGGTGAGGTGGATGGGTCAAACTAGGGTTGCTCCCTAACAGTCGACCAAACGTTAGTCAACCAGAAAGGTCACTGATCGTCAAGATTTCACTAGTTGCTTATTCGAGGGAAAAAACACAACAACCATGAAACATGCAGTTAAAGGCGCAGCATGTGTACAGCCTCTAATTTCCAGGGCTGGTACCTGCAGTTATTCCACAGGCTAGTTAATAACATGTCGGGCAGGAAATCCAACGTGTGGGATCATTTTGAGAAGGTGAAGGACCAACCCAAGGTGATATGTAAACTCATCTTCATTGGTCGACTACAAACATGACGTATCATCTGAAACATGGAAGTAGCTACATGCCCATTAGTCACTTAGCACAATCATTACTGCTTTGCCGACAGCGTCATTAACAGGCGGCTCGCTCAGTGTGTGACGTGCACTTGTAGATAAAATATAGACCTATATTAATGAAGGTTCATTAGTACGGTTTTGTATTTCTCTGTAATGTAGCACAGTGTTAACAATGTTACTGATACTATTCTTTCTCACACCTTCAACTCAAACCATTGAGTTGCCCCGCCCAAAATATTAATATCGTAAACATGCGGATGACTAGTTGACTAATGACGACCATTGGTTGACTAGGAAAATTCTTAGTCGGGGGCATCCCTACTAGATGATGCTCTAGTAGTAGCTTGATGTGTCGGGCCATTGACCAAGCATCATTATTTGACAAAGTGGTAGTGAGATTGCATTGCAACAATAGACATTTGACAAAATGCCATCACATACCCAGCCCAAAGCGGTAGCCATCAGCAAAACGGGAGCTTGCATTCCAGAAAACACAAGCGCTGTCCAGCTGATGCAGGAACTGCTCCGCTGTCTCCTCTGTAAGAAAGAAAGTTCACAACCTTGTATCTCTGATCCAACACCCTTCTATATAAGTGACAATAACTACTGAGCTGGACATGATCATGTAGACAAGACTACAGGTCCAAATGTCATCAGGAGAAATCCTTGAGTTGCTATATGACTTTGAAATTAGATCCCACTCAATGAGAGGTAGATACTCGGCAAATATTGTATTAGTGAATCAAATTTGGTTGAGATTTTTGCACAAGGAGCCAAGGCAGGTTTTTCTCTTGATGACTGCAAAGATTATCTACCAGTCAGCTAATGTGTCTGTCAGTAAATGTAACTGTTGTACTTATAAACACCTGTGACCGATCCATCTACCTATCTTATCCAGTGTCTTATCTATTGCACCTACCTATCTACCTGTCTTCCTAAGTCTATACTTCATCATGTCAGATATATTTTACATGGTGTATCTTTCTATCTACTGTAGCTATCCTTTCTATCTTGACTGTATCTGACAGACACAGGTGGCAGGGTATATTTTAATTCACTGAGATACCTTCTGTGGTCACCAGATGGCAGCAACACATCCTCCACTGCAGGTGAGAATAATCCTCAGTGTAGAAATGTGACAAGCACATTCTCTTGCATGTTTCAAATGCTGCTCACTTTTATTCTGGTCACTCAAAGACACACAAAATATTTTGCATATCTGTATTTCATCCTCCTTTAATGAGGGATGTGCACATCAGCCTTGTCGCGCACTCTTTTTGACGAATGGTTCCTTTTGTTGCAGTCCATCCATGACACGAACGGCGCGATTCATGTGACGGCTTTAGTTCCCATCAACATTTCATGATATTCCCAAAAATCGACCGCCAAATGAACGTGTCTCAGAAATTGCAATATGTTGGTTTTCAACACTGTCCGCATGCAATACGGCCTCAGCCTTTACATCAGGAAATACTCTGGACACTGCACAGCATGGTTCCAATCAACACGAGTTGGAAAGATTTGGTGTGATGGCTCACTTGAAAGACAGAAATGTGTTTAAACGTGACCTAAAGTTATGACAGGGACAAGTCTTTTAAACTGGGTTTTAGCATCTGCTCTACATTTTAAACGGGCTCTGTCCCCTGCATTGGAGTCGCACAGGGAGGCTATGCACTCATCCTGACAACAAAGTGTCACTGCTCATTAGTCACTGTGGCAGGAAGTGAGATGAATGAGGAAGGTGAATCGAGAGACTGAGAAGTTGATAAAGATTGGACATCTACAGGAAGATGCATGAAAGAAATTATGTATTTTTGCCATTTTAAAATGCAAATTGGCAGAGAGGGAGATCAACAAAATACTGGCACAAACACACTAGGCCACCTACCGTTTTCTGTGATGATAACGTCTGTGTGGGAGCTGCCATACTTGTGAATATGGTCCACAGCTTCCTGCATGCTGTCCACCACCTCCATGCAGCATTCCAGGTCACCGTACTCTACCCGCAGGGACTTGGCCTCTGATGGGCTGAATGTCAGGTAGGAGGCGAACCGAGGGCCTGCGTGAATCTTCACCTAAGGACACGATACAGATTAAAAGAAAGAAATTAAATGAGATAACAAGGATATTTATAAATAAATACATTTTAAAAGGTCAATCAGCTTATTTTGGATGATATTTTACCCGTTCGGTGCGCAGCATGTCAATGATCTGGTCAAACAGTGGAGTCCTGAGGATGTCCCTGTGAATCAGTAGACTTTCCATGGCATTACACGCAGCAGGGTAGTCGCACTTGGAGTCTCTGACTGGAACAGAAAGTATCAGTCAATTACTAACATATTCTTAGTTGTAATCTAAAATCAAAATGAGCCGTGTTAATTTACTCATACAGTAGAAATGCACACAAACTTCTACAGGTCAAATCAGCAAGGAGATTCATTAACGCTGACCAATTTTGATGACTTTGTCAACGCTGGCTTCTGCATCGACGTAGACGTGGCAGATACCCTCACTGTGACCCAGCACCGGGATGCCCTTGGCCGCCCGCTGAATGTTCCTCACCAGCTGAGACGAACCTCGGGGGATAATCAAGTCGATCATCTTGTCCAGACGGCACAGATCCTCCACCTCCTCACGAGTGCTCACCTTGTGACAGATACAGGTTTGTCAGCCACAGCAGCTACATGCTATGACATCTGAGTTCCCCCTTTCCATGAAATGTGCTTGTATTGGCTTATGATAAATGTATATGAAACATTTTACCAGCTGCACAGCCTCGCTGACACCATGCATGGAGAGGGCTTCCTGGGTGAGCTGGTGGAGGACACGGTTGGTGTTGGCTGCCTCTTTGCCTCCCTTCAGAAGGAGGGCGTTGCCACTGGCTATGGCCAGTGCTGCCACCTGGAGAAACACACACAGGGTTTGTGATATTACTGCGGTCATTTCAAGAAAGTTATCTTAATACTTAGTCTGTTTGCATTTGCTAAAACTCTAAATAAGGCAAGGCACGTTTATTTACATGGCACTTTTCAGCAGAAAGACAAAAGAAAGACGATATAAAAAGGACATTTAAAATAAGCCCTGGTTTAAAAGAACTGAGTTACGCAGACCTGCAGCTTTCTGGGAGTTTGTTACAGATACGTGGTGCTTAAAAACTAAACGCTGCCTTCCTGTGTTTAGTCTCAACTCTGAGGACACAAAGCAGACCTGTCCCAGGAGACCTGAGAGGTCTGGATGGTTCACAATGAAGCAGAAGATCAGAAATTTGGGCCCTAAAGCATTCAGAGCTTTATAAACCAATAGTGTCCTTGAAAGACAGGAAGCCAGTGAATACAAAAAAAATCTTTAAACTTCCAGATCTGTTTGTGTTAGTGCAGCTCTGCCTGGATACCTGCGGCAGGCAGTCAGGCCGGGCCTCAAAGATGACCAGCAGAACTCCGATGGGCACAGTGATCTGCTCCAGCTCCAGGTTGTGAGCCACCCTGGTCCTGCGCAGCACACGACCCACACTGTCCTGGGCGGCCACGGCTATCTGGCGCAAACCTATGGCCAAGCTGTTGAGTTTGGCAGGTGACAAGCTCAGACGCTTCAACATGGCTGGCGGTAAATGGCCTGTAGAAAGGACGGAGAGCAAGGTTACACTTTGCTATCAGTGGATATATGATCGAACTCTCATCAACAGAGGCAAAGCATAGAGAGTGGTAAAGTCGCCCTCTGGTGGACAGATATGAGTTAAGCTGCATATTTGGAAATATTTACAAAATTATACAAGTCTGTGTGGCAATATAATGATTGTAATTACACTTATTACTTCCTGCCAGAGAGGAATCTGTTGATATCAAATCTGCTTATGGATCATAAGCTTATATCCCTATGATTAGTTCAATAGCAACAAAAAATATATATACACTAAGTAAATATTATGGGCTTCAAAAACTTGAACAGAGTTACAAACTTTACCGAGTACCACACTGCTACATCCTCTCTAAACCTGACCAACTGACTGACTGAGGTGCTCTGTTACCTGCATTTACAGCCAGGTCCATGTCCATCTTGTTGGCAGCCAGAATCTCCTCCTTCTTTTCAGTCAGCAGCTCTGCTAGATGGCAGATGATCTCACTCCTCTGATGACACAGTAAACCAAACACAGGCAGGATGAGCATGGAGTACGTGTGTCCACAAGGGGTCAGAGTTTGTCCATATCTGATAAAAAGGTAAGCTTTGGCCTATTTATTCAAAGAACATGTGTTTATAACCTGAACTAATATATTTTTTACGATTAAACTAAAATCCTTAAACACAAATAATGATCCTTATTCAAAACAATTTGGCACCTGGTCTGGGTGCAGGGAGGCCAGGGTTCTTCCAGAGGTGCGAGCCATTTCTGTCTGATGCTCCACAGTTGGGCCTAGTAAAGGGTCAGTGACAGAACAGGCTTCACTCAAAGAACATTTAGTTGCCAGTTTCAGGTTCATCTAGTTTAAGCTAAAACAACAGTCCTGAAATAAAATCATATCTTCATGAATGTTATCATATTTAGGTTTTGTTGAAATTGTTTCAGAGGTGTTGATTCAACTTTAAGATGTTTTCTGATTTGGAGGTTGTAGTTTGTGGTGCTGTTGAGCTGTACTGGGTTTTAATGAGGTGTTTCATTCAATTTAATCTGTTCTCATTGACAAAAACACTGTATACAAAATATTACACTTCCCAGTATAATTCATGAGCACCACAAACCACCACCAGGCCAGTCAACAGAAGAAAATGTTGGCACCATATGTTTCTGCAAACCACAAATATGTTACATTTGCACATTTCATACACATCATCGTTTCTAAAGTGATGTAATATATGATCTGATTTTGTCATCGGAAGGCGGAGGGGAGGGTGGATAGCATGTCACCTTGGTGAGATGCTGGCTATGCTGCAGACCAATGTTCAAGACAAACAACAACAAAACCTGATGGTTTTTAGCGTGTCGTTCCTGTGTTTCCAGGCCCCTAAACATGGGTGGGTTTTTTTTTTTAGGGACCCCTCACAGTTTTCCCCAGTGGAAACAGTGCCACGAAAAGCAGTTGTTTTTACAGAGACATCAGTGCATTTCCAACTTTAAACATAGTGTTTTTTGTACAACTTGAGGTGCATGGAGTGCTGCTGGGTGTAGAAAAAGTGTGCTTCTGGTGCTCTTCGGTGTGGGGATCAAAAAAGTGACAGAAAGAAAATTCAAAAAACCGAGGCGAGGGAGTAGGAAAATAAAAAGCCTTTATTAAGTCATGACTTTGTTCTGATTAAAAATGTCGACATGTTTCGGCCGTGTGGGCCTTCATCAAGACAAATAAAGAGACTCTCCTTCAGACAGCTTCTTAACACTAGTAAACAGTCACATGATCAGCGTGGCCAGGTGGAATCTCTTCACCTGATTGGGGTGAGCAAACAGATCAATTAGGAGCAACAGAGAGAACACACATCATACCATCAAAACATCACAAGCAGGAGAGAAATATACAATAATAACAAAAATAACAACAATAATACAAAATACCAAAGATTCTCAAAGATGGAAACATCTCTAAAGTTCTATTTTTTAAGTGTTTCAATTTTAAAGTAATATCTTCAAAGTGTATAAGGCATAAAAACACTGCCAGGCAGAAGAAAAAAAAAAAAAAAGGTAAATAATTCATTGTTTTAATTTATATAAGTAAGATTTTTAAGATAGAAGATCTAACAATTATTTCTCAAGACTATGACTATGTTCTCAAAAACATCTTCGAACCTTTTCTAAATGACCTTAGAATGCAAATGATTTATTTGGGACAAAAAAAAAAAAAAAAAAAAAAAATGGAATGAAGAAAAAGTACTCTGAAATTTCAGAGTACTTTTTCTTTATTCCTTTTTTTTTTCTTCTACCTGGCAGTGTTTTTATGCCTTATACACTTTGAAGATATTACTTTAAAATTGAAACACTTAAAAAATTGTATATTTCTCTCCTGCTTGTGATGTTTTGATGGTATGATATGTGTTCTCTCTGTTGCTCCTAATTGATCTGTTTGCTCACCCCAATCAGGTGAAGAGATTCCACCTGGCCACGCTGATCATGTGACTGTTTACTAGTGTTAAGAGGCTGTCTGAAGGAGAGTCTCTTTATTTGTCTTGATGAAGGCCCACACGGCCGAAACATGTCGACATTTTTAATCAGAACAAAGCCATGACTTAATAAAAGCTTTTTATTTTCCTACTCCGAGAGCCTCGGTTTTTTGAATTTTCTTTCTATAGTGTTTTTTGTGCCTATACGTAACCACACATTAACGACAGCATTGTTCAGATGTTGAGTTTCAACAGACTGCTACGTAATGTCATGAAAATGTAATATATTTATGCAGAAACATACAATTCTCCAATTTTTTTGGCGGTTGGTTTGCAAACTACATCCTCCTAACACTAAATCAAAACCCTTAAACGAAATAATTATCACAAACAATTATAACCTTCCTGAAGACATGATTAATTGCAGGACTGTTGTTTAGACTGGGTTCACTTTAGCTAGACCGTCCTAATATAAAACAACAGAAGCTACAACTTTAGCATGGCTGCAGTAATACAAATGTGAGAGGAGGTTTTGACAGAGAGCATTCGGCCCAGGTTAACTCACCAGCAGGTTTGATCTCAGAGAAGAAGGTCCCCACCTTTTTGCCCTCCACGATATCAGTGATGACGTGACCTGTTACTTTGGGGTGGGTGCCGTTTGCAATGACCACTGAGGTGCCACCTTGTAGGGCCCAGAGAGCAGCCTTTACCTGCAGGAAAACAAACACACAATTAAAAACGGGTCTCTTTAAAATCTCTACTTGAAGTCTTTACTTTTTAAAATGACGAGTTACAATCTCAGTGTAAATGTCAAAAACAAATATTACCTTAGACATATAGGAAGAAGCAGGAAAGCATGTTATATGTTTTTGTTGTCTCACTTTGATCAGAGGGAAGGGTCAGGAAATGCCCACATAAACACTTTGCTACAGTATAGCTGACTTTAAATGGTTCAGCAGGATAACAATGGTTATCAAAGGTGCTACACAATTCTGACAGTGTAGGAACTGCAGGCAGTGGTGGAACAAGCACTTAAACCTTTTACTGATGTTACAGTACCAATACAGTGGTTCACAAGGGCTGAGCTGTGCCTTAAAAAGTGCCCTTTGTTAGTCTTCTTCTCTGGTGCAGCAGTCAGAGGAAAAGTGTGGTGCAGCAAAGGAGGATTCACACAGAGAACAAAAGTGATGCAGAATTCTACAGGTGCACCCATTCAGTCATAAGGGCTCGATTAAACACACCTGAAGCCAACTGCCAGCAGAGGCCTGTACTATGAAGCCAGTTCAACTTACCCAGGTTATCTTTTCGTTATCTGGCTTGACTAACCCATTGACTAACCATCTGGATAACTGGCACTACAAAGCCGGTTATCAACTACTAAGTCAACTCTGGGTTTTCCTATCCAGCCATGAGCGTGTTCATGTGAAAGAGGCGGGGCTGTTAATCACAAGCGACATCAAACACTATCACTGCGGACTAAAATAAACTTTGCATAAGTTAAAGTCCTGCTAAAATCAGACTGACAAACCGGTGATGGTTGGTTAACCAACCAATCGTGTTGATCAACTAACAACAGAAGGAAGTGGTGACAGATGTAGCTAGAAAAGATGTGGGGAGTAAAGGCAATAGCAGTGCCAGTGGTAATCGCAGCTCTCGGGGCTGTGACCCCCAAACTGGGAGAGTGGCTCCAGCTGATTCCAGGTACAACATCTGTGGTCTCTGTCCAAAGGGCCACAGTCCTAGGAACCTAAGAAGATACTGCTCAGAACCCTCAAACTCCCAGGCCTCTGGTAGAGGACCCAAGCTTGAGGACGATATATATATATATATATATATATAAATGTTAGCTTCCTATAACCCCTAAGAGGAAAAGTGGTTACAGAAAATAAATGGGTGGAAATGTCAGCTTGTACACTGGACATGGGATTCACTGGACAGAAAGACAATAACATAGAAAGTATCATTACAACAGCGTTAACTTTACACTTAACAAGTTAGAGTCCTGCTGCATTTAAAATCTACTTCAAAATGTTTTTTAAAAATGCTTAAAATATCAAAAGTAAAAGTACTCACCCTCTAAACATGTGTACAAAATTAAAGTACAAGAAGCTCTGCACTTTGCCCACCTGATGAGTGTCTACTAAGATAAGGCGTTTATCTTGAAAGTAAATAAACAGTGTATTTAACACAGTAAATGAGGACTTGTAACGTACCTTGGCCTCCATGCCTCCAATCCCCACTCTGGACTTTGTGCCGTAGGTGATGGACTGCTGGTCTCCAGGGTAGAAGATGTCAATGAGCTTGGCATCATCTGTTCCTGGGGGGCTGTTGTACAGTCCTAAGGAATCAATAATTGCTCAAACATGGGTCTGATAGAGCATGACACACAACTCTAAAACCTTTGTCACATGTACTGTATACGAACGCCTTGCAAATCAATAAACAAAGTGATAATAAATATCTACATCTACTGATAGTGAATGGACCCTCAGCCATGACACACTCACGTGCACACCTTATGGCAACCCCATCAGCATCAATTTCAAACACAAATGCAGAAGGTCTGTGTTTGTCTCTTTCGTACGACTCTCAGTTGACCCTGAGAGGGGTGTGTGTTTTTTTATCCCGGTGAAGAGCACAGACAGATGGTGTTGTTACCTAACAGCTGACCCAGACTGTTGTTGTGGTAACCGCACATACCTTCCACGTCAGACAGTGCGATGAGGAGGTCAGCCTTCATCTCCACGGCTAGCCGCGCCGCCAGACTGTCATTGTCCTTAATGCTGATCACCTACAGAACCAGAAAATCGCTGATGTAAGCTCCTGAAGACGGAAAGTCAGCCATCTGCCATTTACCCAGCTAAGTGTTTTCTTAAGGGTTAGAGGAAGGCTGGTAAATAGAGAGAAACATCTAAACACTTATGTGCTGCTATTACTGAACTGTCTGTGCTGGACCATCAGGGAAAATTTTAGGAACTGTGACAGAGAAACAGGGAGGTAATCAGTGACCAAAAGGTCAGTCTCTGTAAACCAGTCCAATTTTTTTCTGGATGACAAACAGCCACATTAAGTCCACGCTAGGGTGCTTTCACACCTGTTGTTCGGTTCATTTGATCTGGAACAAGGGGAAAAAAAAGATAAATTGCTGGTTTTTAGTTTTGGTCCAAAACCAATAGGAACAAACATGAAGTCATACCAGCTGACAGGTAACTGTCTGGACAGATTTGGTGACTGTCTTTCTGCACCAGGACCCACGTGAGGAAATCAAATGCTGATGATGATTGATCATCAGAAGTTTATGCAGCACTTTAATGCTACTGATGTATTTATTTTTGTTCTGTAGTGTCAAAGAGCATTATTAGTATTATTAGACTGCAAATCAGCTGCACGAAGCAGAGGCGTCTTGTACGGTAATGATTCAGGGGTCATTACTGCAGGATTGCTGTCACAAAACTTTTTAATGAACTGACAAAGTAAACTGAGTCGGATACGAGCACAGCAGTTTTAAAAGCTTTTGTCCTTTTAATTAGGGGGGAAAAACCCAGGCTGACGTGCATACATGTTACCAAATGATTAGCATAAATAGGTTATATGATAGACCTGATAGAGATCATCTGCAGGCTCATGTCCTGAACAGTTTCATGATCAGCAGATGGACTTATTAGTTGTTTAGCTTTTGAGATCATGCTGAAATCATGTATCTGTGATCAGAAAATCCTGTGTTTGGTTCATTTGCTTTCACATCATAAACAAACTGCAGCCTGGTCCTCACCAGGGTTTGACTGACAGCCCAAATGAACTGTTCTGACCATGCAGACAGACCTGATTTCATTTTAACCGAACCAAACAGTTTAAGTGTGAAAGCGCCCTAAGTTTACTTGAAAATCCTTTCTAATTTTTCATAACACTACTACAATACTTTGCCAATTTGCCAACAGGCTGTGTCATGCCAAGTACAGCAATCAGCCTTAGCTGTGAAATGAGAGAGAGAACGAGGTAGAATCATCGCCAAGACAAAGATGTGTTAGTTATTTCTACAGGTGAGCAGGTAAAAGAAGGAGTCTACCTACAGGAGTTAGTCCCGGCCCCTCCTGAGAGCACCTTCTCCCCAGTGACTGCATGCACTGCCATCCATCCCCTCCCTGCATGCACATGCCTTAATGGTTGAGTGCAGGGCTGATGAGGTGAGGCAGGGTGGCAGAGGTGTTTCAAAAAAAAAAAAAAAAATGTAGCTAATGAACAGTGTCCGTCTACACTATACAAACACTGTCTCTTTCAACCACTCCAACACCCCTGCTGCCTCCGCCATCGTCACCTCTACCAGCGCTGCCCCCATGCTGTCTGTACCCACATTTACCCCCTGCAGGTCGCTATTGGGCTCCGGCGGGGGCACCACGGCATCATTGGTGTTGATGATGGGCACGATGTTCATGCGGAGCAGCTCCTGCAGCGTGCTGTTCAGGTTCTGCCTCTTTTGGTCATCATGGAAATCCAGATTTGTCACCAGGACCTGACAGCGGAGTTAACAGAGAGCAGTGAGTGACAGAGTAAGATTTAAATATGTTACTCTGCATAGTACATGCTTCTTAAGCACTTTAAAGTGATTGCTTTCCTATGAAGTATAGAAGTACCTGTGCAGTGCAAGTGCTGTATTGGGTGAACATGGCCTCATACAGGGCCATCAGGCCGCTCTGTCCGGCTGCAGCACAGGCCCGGGCCTCCAGCACCGGCAGAGACTGCAACACACATACAAGACATGAACATAAACTACCTACCACAGAGTTAGATCAACACTAATCAAAAACAATTTCAGGAAACATTAAGCTACACCTATTTTTACCTGACTGAAAGTTTCAACCCAGACAGAGATAATTTACATTTTCACATTACTGTAAGCCTCCACACATTCCTCCAGCTTTCCTCACCATGTCTTTGAGCTGATTGTGTCCTGAGTGCAGCGCCTGTCGGACACTCTGGGACAGCAGGATCTCATGTCTTAATCTCTGCTTGCCAAAAGCCACCGCTCCACTGGTGACGATCATCATCTCCCGGCCCTGATTCTGCAGCATGGCCACCTGCAAAACAATACGCCCAATTAGGACTCAAACACAGGGCTGGTTCACCCAAATTACATAACGACATATTGTCTTACTCACCCCTTGTGGTAACTAACCATGATTTTATTTTATGTTTTAATTGATGACATCTGTCCCTGTGAAATCTGCCTCCACCCCAATATAATGGGGTGAATGGAATTAAACCTGTGGTGCTCAAAGCAAGGAAAGTTACATCTAAAAAATGAAATGCAGTGTGTCTTTCCAGAAACAATTTTCTACCAAAGAAACAAACCCTTTGAAACTGCTCACAGCATGTTTGGTAGATAATCCAGGGCATTGTTGCCAGAGAAAAAATGTTGTTGAATATTTCATTATTCTATGACAACATAAGTCCATTTGCCTGTTGTATTGTTTGATCGTAAAGGTGTTTCAAGAAATGGGAAAATAAAACTAAAATTATGTGCGTGACGAGACACCATATGAACTTTATCAAATCAAGGAGTCTAGCTGAGATGTCGATCCTCTTTTTCAAGGGTGTTTGCTCCTCTGTCTAGTAATTTGGTTTAAGGTCACATTATATCTCATAAAAAAAAAGCTGCAAAGATTAGTTAAGCAATTAGGTGATTGACAGAAAATTAATTGGCAAGTATTTTGATAATCAAATAGTCATGTAAAAGTAATGTTTTTAAACAAAAAGCTAGAAATTTGCTGGTTTCATGCTTCTTAAATGTGAGAATTTGACACTTTTCTTCGTCATACGTGATAATAAACTGAACATATTTGTATTTCTGGAGTGGTGATCAGATAAAACATACCATCTGACATGTCACCTTGAGCTCTGGGAAGTTACAAAAGGCATGTTTCGCTATTTTGGGACATTTTATTGACAAAATACTCTATTGATTCATGAAGAAAATAATCGTCATAGTAATCAAATATGAAAGTAATTGCCAGTTGCATGCCTACTCACAATCAGGTATTAAATAGTAAGTAGGAAAGGAAACAGAAAATTGAATATGTAACAATAAAAGAGTTATTTTAAAAAAAAAGTTCAAATCAGTAAAATTATACTAAAAAATTAATCTAAATATTTAATTGTGAGCTGGTCTACACCCTGACTTATTTTATACTTCATTAAAGTACAGATCGTGCTGGTATTTGGACTCTCACCTGCTCCACAATGGAGGCCAGCCTCCCCAGAGCCAGACCGCACTCATCTCCACGGGTGACCACAGCACTGCCGAGCTTGACTACGATCCTCTTGGCCTGACGCAGTTCACCGCGGTGTGCGAAGGAGCTGCCGTGGGCCCTCCCATGGGGAACTGTAGAGGGAGAAGATGATGTTGTTACATCACTGGAGAAAAGTGTTTCATCACTTATTTCAGTGCTCCTCATCAGCTAGACACAAGAAGTAACTCTGAGCAGATATGAAAAGCAGACTATTCTGTTGTGAATAATTTGTTGTGAATAAGCTTGTACAATCGTGTTTTTATCATCTAAGAAACATTTTAACTTAACTTTCAAATACAAAGAGACTATTTTACATGTCTTCATCTCTTCATACCTGGATCACTGCAACAGCCTCTTTTCTTGCCTGAATCAAAACTCTATTAATGGACTGTACAGAATTCAGCTGCCAGGATTTTAACCAAAACCAAGAGACGTGAACACACCACTCCAGTTTGAGCCTCTTTACACTGGTTCCCAGTATGTTTTTAGGGCTGCCTGCAACTAACGATTATTTTCTTCTTTTGTTTGTTTGTTTGTAATGAAATTTTTTATTGATCATTTCATATTGTCTAGACAGATTGGCAGAATAGTTCATTTGTGTAAACACTGATATATATATATATATATATATATATATATATAAAATAAAAAATAAAATAAATACATAAAAAAGACACACACAAAAAAACCTATTATTTTCGTTATCGACTAATCTGTCGATTATTTCTTCAATTAGTCGACTAATCTGTCGATTATTTCTTCGATTAGTCGACTAATCATTTTATCGTAAAATGTGTTAAAATGTTGAAAAATGTCGGTCTGTCTCTCCCAAACCCCAAAATTATGTCATCTAATGTCTTGTTTTGTACTCACGCCAAAGGGTTTTAGCTCACTGTCATGGGAGAATGTGTAAAGCTGCCAATATTTGAACGTAAGAAGCCGTAATAAGAGTATTTTGGGGTACTTTTATAGTACTTTTCTATGAAAAATGACTCTAACCGAAAAGTCGACTACTAAAATAGTCACCAATTATTTTAATAGTCGATCAGTCAACTAATCGTTGTGGCCCAATATGTTTTAGAATAGATTTTAAGATTTTACTGATCACTCATGGTCTCTCTCCCAGCTATATCTCCAATCAAGGTATTTGGTCTGTTCCAGAGACCAAAGGGGACAGAGCGTTTGCTGTCAGGGCCCAGAGGCTCTGGAACGATCCGCCTAAGGAAATCAGGTCGACCAAGTCAATGATCTCTTTTTAAGTCCCTTCTTACAACATACTTTTATTGGAGAGTCTTTCCTGATTTTACTTGAGTTCTAATTTCCTTTCAAAGGATAACATTTTTATAGACCAAATTGTTTTTTCTTAATCTGTTTCTTTTAAAACCTGCTGATTTTATGACCTGTGTGTTTTATCTTGCTGCCTTGTGAAAAACACTGTTTTTGAAAAGTGCCCTATAAATAAAGACTACTATTATTACTACTAATCAACAGTCCTTGAAGGGCAGAAAATCCACCTTTGCTCTCATGTAATTTATATAGAGACATTTAGTTAGTTGCTGAAAATGACATCAGAAAGCAAAATAACAAGTAAAAAACAGCAGTGGTGTAAGCAGCCTTCAACTGTTTAAAAACTGTGCTTTAACAACAAATCAATGTATTAATGTAAACCTTTCTACACAGAACATTGCAAACATGACATAAATGTGCAAACACGCATGTTTTTCTGTTTTACATTGATTACATGACAGAGACAAACAGAGTAAAGCCGGCCCCTACATTCATCTGTAACCTGGGAAACAGATAATCACAGCCTTCAAACTGCCACATCAGCGGGGCGGACAGAAAAAAGCCTGTGCTGACATTACACATCTCTGCGAAGCAATGAAGCGCATGAGGGAGACAGACAGAGAGAGGGAGACAGACAGAGAGACAGACAGACAGAGAGACGGAGAGGGGGAGAGACAGAGAGACAGAGGGAGAGAGAGAGAGAGAGAGAGAGAGAGAGAGAGAGAGAGAGAGAGAGACAGACAGAGGGAGAGAGGGGGAGAGGCCGATCACATCTTGTTCTGACTAGAGTAGGTCAGAAAACTCCCTGCAGGCACAACTTCTCAGTCAAAGTTTGCACAGTGTGTTAGATACACGTCTGGAATTCAGCACATCTGCCTGCAGACGCTGTGCTCACTGTGTTGAACACAATCAGGAACGTGTTTGTCTACATTCAGGAGAAAACTAAAGGCTAAAACTAATTACTAGGCTGCAACTACCAATTATTTGTTGATTGATCTCTTCATTATTGTCTCAGTTGATCAGCTAGTTGTTTGATCAGAAAATGGTGAATAGTGTCACAGAGGAGGAAAGAAACCTGAAGACATTCACATTTAAGAAGCTGGAATCAGAGGATTTTGACTTTTTTTCTTAAAGCATTATTCACATCAGGGCACCCAGTGGCTTAGTGGGTAGAGCAGGCGTCTCATATACTAAGGCAGTGTCCTCGCCGCTGCGGCCACAGGTTTGATTCCAGCCTGCTGCCTTCTGCTACGGGTCATCTCCTCTTTCTCTCCCCCTTTCACACTTAGACTGTCCTATCTAATAAAGGCAAAGAAATAATAATTGAAAATCAGTGAATCGATCTTCATATCATTTGGCAGTTAATTCAAAAGTTGGCAACTAATTGATAAATCGAATAACCATTGCAGCTCTGTGATTTTCCTTCTCGTGTCATCTGTTAGTTTTTCAATAAATTGTGAATCAAGTCACACACACTCACACACATCACATTAGTCACAACTGGACTGGACTGCATTATTTAATTTTAATTTAATTTGATTTTTAATTTCTATTTATGCACTTATTTTAACTTATATTATTTTATGTTTTTTTTTTTAATACAACAGTGTTGTTGATGAGGGGAGGTATGGTTGTTGTTTTTTGTCTTTTATGAGCTGCTGGACAGTTGAATTTCCCCTCTGTGATGAACAAAGTTATTTCTATTCTATTCTAGACTATTTCATGACAGAAAACAGTAAAAAATGCCCATCGTATTTTCCACTGACCGTGAGATGAGGTCTTCAAATTGCTTGTTTTGTCAGCGCAACAGCCAAATTCTGACTTTTTTTTTTACAGTAATAACAAACAGAGAAATGTAAATACAGTATTTGGCATTTCTGCTTGATGAATGGCTTCATAAATTATTAAAATAGTAACTAATTTCAAGGCCACAACAAACTATTTTATTAATTGTGGTTACTTTTTAATAAATCAACAAAAGTTGGGTCTATAAAATGTAAGAAAACAATGAAAGGTTTCCATCATGGGTCACTAAAGCCCAACGTGACGTCCTAATATTGCTGGTTTTGTCAAACAACACTCTAAAACCCCATAATATCAGTTGACAGACACTTAAAAAAAGGAATGCAGCAAATGTTCAAGTCGAGAAGTTAGAAGTGGAAAATGTTTGACACTTTTGCTTAAAAATGACTTATATGATTCATCACAAATCAGAATACTTTGTTTTTATCTAAAGATCTGAGGGTGCTGGATGACTGAGAACAGACTGTATAATCTACACAGTGTTTACATGAGATAAAACTGTATCACACACTGTGACACTGCAGCAGGGCTTGCCTTGTGTCAGAGGTCTGGTGAGCAGCCGGCATACGTGTCTCTGGTGATCCAGTGGGATCCTTGAACACAGGGTCAGTCTGTGCAGCAGCATGGTCAATGTAATGCCTTTACAATCACAGAGACATACAGGGAGTCAGAAACACACATGTACAATGTATCAGCATCAAAGAGTTTAACTGTGGTATTACATGGAGAAATCAGAGGTGAGTTATATAATTAAATGACAACATAAAAAGTGATCCCATGTGTCCTGATGTGCAGTTAAACTATAACTACTCTTCTGGTCCTTTAGATGGTGAAATAATAAAAGTGTTTGTTCTTACTTAACCTCCTGCAGTCCCAGCACAGTTTGTCCTGTGGAAGCACCTGTCCCGTGAAACGTCTTCTACTGAGTTTTTTTCATCTTCTCTAACCGGTTATTCCTCCATTTATCACCCAAATACTTGAACAGAGGTGGACTCTGCAGGGCACGACTCCTCCCCTGACTGACTGAGCTGCTGATGAAACTGTCACCGCGGTTTGCAAACAGTGAACACCGACCGTGTGCTAACGTCACCTCACCGTCTGTACGTTAAACACCGCTAAAACTAAAGGACTAAGTATTATATATCACTTTTGGTTGACTTTAAAATATTGTTTTTAACATCATAAATTAACGGTGAAGTGGCAGGATGTGACGTTTAGCTAACCGGCGAAATGCGGAAGACGAACGGAAGTGATGCTCAAGTCTCACATTTCAAAATATAAGTCAATTTATAAAAACCGCTATTAAAAGCTAAATGACTTTTTTGCTTCGTGTTTTGTTATTAATTCCATTAATAGTAAAAAATATTTATTGTAATTCGATGTTATAGTTAGCTAATTGTATATCTTCAAGTCCCAAGTCAAGACAGGCAAGCCCTGAGTCAAGTCCCAAGTCAAGACAGGCAAGTCCTGAGTCAAGTCCCAAGTCAAGACAGGCAAGCCCTGAGTCAAGTCCCAAGTCACGTCCCAAGACAAGACAGGCAAGCCCTGAGTCAAGTCCCGAGTCAAGTCCCAAGTCAAGACAGGCAAGTCCTGAGTCAAGTCCCAAGTCAAGACAGGCAAGCCCTGAGTCAAGTCCCAAGTCAAGACAGGCAAGTCCTGAGTCAAGTCCCAAGTCAAGACAGGCAAGCCCTGAGTCAAGTCCCAAGTCACGTCCCAAGATAAGACAGGCAAGCCCTGAGTCAAGTCCCGAGTCAAGTCCCAAGTCAAGACAGGCAAGTCCTGAGTCAAGTCCCAAGTCAAGACAGGCAAGCCCTGAGTCAAGTCCCAAGTCAAGTCCCAAGTCAAGACAGGCAAGCCCTGAGTCAAGTCCCAAGTCAAGACAGGCAAGTCCTGAGTCAAGTCCCAAGTCAAGACAGGCAAGCCCTGAGTCAAGTCCCAAGTCACGTCCCAAGATAAGACAGGCAAGCCCTGAGTCAAGTCCCAAGTCAAGTCCCAAGTCAAGACAGGCAAGTCCTGAGTCAAGTCCCAAGTCAAGACAGGCAAGCCCTGAGTCAAGTCCCAAGTCAAGTCTAAAGTCAAGACAGGCAAGCCCTGAGTCAAGTCCCAAGTCAAATCTAAAGTCAAGACAGGCAAGCCCTGAGTCAAGTCCCAAGTCAAAACAGGCAAGCCCTGAGTCAAGTCCCAAGTCAAATCTAAAGTCAAGACAGGCAAGCCCGGAGTCAAATCCCATGTCAAGTCTAAAGTCAAGATAGGCAAGCCCTGAGTCAAGTCCCAAGTCACATACCAAGTCAAGACAGGCAAGCCCTGAGTCAAGTCCCAAGTCAAGTCTAAAGTCAAGACAGGCAAGCCCTGAGTCAAGTCCCAAGTCCAAGTCAAGTCTAAAGACAAGGCAGGTAAGCCCGGAGTCAAATCCCATGTCAAATCTAAAGTGAAAACAGTCAAGCCCTGAGTCAAGTGCCAGGTCAAGATAGGCAAGCCCTGAGTGTAGCCCAAGTCAAGTCTCATTCAAGACAGGAAAGCCCTGAGTCAAATCTGAAATCATGATATGCAAGCCTTGAGTCAAGTCCCAAGTCGCGTCTCAATTCAAGACAGGAAAGCCCTGAGTCAAATCTGAAATCATGATATGCAAGCCCTGGGTCAAGTCCCAAGTCAAGTCCTGATTAAAGACAGGCAAGTCTGGAGTCAAGCCCTGAGTCAAGTCCCAAATCAGGACAGGCAAGCCCTGAGTTGAGTTTAGGTCAAGATAAGTAAGCCCCAAGTCAAGTCCTGTGTCAAGACAGGCAAGTCCCAAGTTGTCCCCTTAACTTTGTGTTTCAAGTCCTAAACAAGTCATTATGCGCTCTTCGCCAATTGTGATGCAAATTTGTGTCTGGAGTCTGACTCGAGTCTAAGTCATGTGACTCAAGTCCATACTTCTTATGTATATACATATGTAGCCTATCCCCTGTCTGCATGTTCTTACACAACATTATATCCTTAACTAACACACCATTTTCTGGTCAAAGAAAAATATTTAAATGTCTTGTCCATCATGTTCATTTTACAAATATATATAAATTTAACCTGACTTATTTTTGTTATTGAAAACTTCCATTAGAATGTGAAACAATGCCCTGCAGGCTCCAACAGTGTTTTGCTATACAACACATGTTTGCAAAGGTGTATCCACTGGTGCGTACATAAGAGGTTTAAAGATCATGAGCAAAACATCATATTCTGTATCATCATCATTTTACAGCAACAGAAAGGGCCACCACAGTTAAAAAAAAGCACTATTCAAAATTATTTCCACTTTATCAACCTGAAAACAAAAAGAAGACGAGGGTGGTTGCACTACAACTGACCTAATTAGTTCTTTCATTAACTTGTGCACCTTTCATGTGCATCATGTGGTGGAGAAATCACAGGTCCACAGCAGAGATCAAAGTTTCCTGTACCTGCACTATCATGCTGTGACAAAATGAAAAGTCACCCAGAGCAGAGTTGACTGACACCATGGGACTCCCACTGCCCCTAGGACCACGGATAACTAAATTGGCTCCTGTTGCTCTGGCTAAATGTGTATTATTCCATTATATCTGTCCTGTTCTTTTCTCTGTTGTCCACTCTTGCCCTTTATCTGTTCTTCTGTGTTCCTCCTCCTCTTCGCTCTTTTATCTGTCCATCTGACTCAGGGGAAAGAACTGACCCTTACCTTGCTCCTGGCTCCGCTAATCCACTAACTCTATGTGTTTGTGTATGTGTGTGTGTGTGTGTGTGTGTGTGTGTGTCTGCACAAGCTTTTAACTTATTGCAGGTCTGTTCATTTTGATCCCTTTGAATTGGTCAAAGTACAGATTTTTCCTACTGAAACAAACTTTTGCAGCTGAACATTTTGGTTGGTCTGAACTAAATGAATACACCAGTCACAAAAGACAGTGACATTTTATTGTGAAAGAACTTTTTACCATCACATTATAACAAATAGAAACACCTACTACCGAATATCTCAAAAACATTGGAAGGGATCACTCTAAAAGCGCCTCTGTTTCGGATGGACTGATATTAATTTTTGTAGCAATACTGGCCATCCCCTGATTGTTCATCTAGCCATGGGTGGATCAGTAGACAATGGGCCCCTGGGCACAGATATGCAAAAGGCCCCGTCACCTCTCCTACACAGGAGCAAGGCACATTAACTTTGTGGTGCTTTTTCTTTGCATACATCTGTTTATTGTCACTCTTGTCGTTTTGTGTCTCTTTGTGGTCATGTTATGTTTCTTTTGGTCGTTTTGTGTCTCTTTGTCATTTTTTTTTAATCTATGTGTGGTTGTTTTGCCTGTTTTGCACTTATTTTGTGTCTCTTTGCAGTTCATTTGCATCTCATTTCCCTCTCCTAACTTGAGTGTGGATAAAATAATATAATCTTGCAGCTCTCCCAGACTTTCCAAATGTTATCGGACCAAATGAATCACATCCTGGTGGTGAAACTAGTCATTTTGCAGGGGTTATGATGCTAAAAACTGTTTCTGCTAAGTTACAGACGTTTCTTTCCCAGTGTAAGTCAATGGGAAAAAGTATTTTTGGGCCCAATGGCATTACGTGACGAGCCCCAGAAATTGCAGTACCATTAACTGGCCACTAGGAAAATTGGCTTGAAAGCTTAGTGCACTTCCTGGGGGCCTGGTTATGACTAAATACCCTCACAGCTAATTAAATTCTCATCCTCAGACGTACTTTGTATTAGCAAATGTTAGCATGCGAAACTTATGTAGCCTAACTATGGTACAAATTATACCTGCTCAACATCAGCTTGTTAGCATGCTTGCATTTTATCTTGACCAGACCACTTGGGTCTTTTCATACATAACTTAAATGATGATGATGTCTTGTGATAGATTGGGAGTGGGGCCAGATTCTTCAAATTTGGGTGATCCAGCCATTAGTTTTGAAAACTACCTCATTGTAATGGCAATGAGATTGGTACAACAAGTTTGAGGGGTTTGTCAGAGACGTCTCCAAGCAGTTCAATAATGGGACACCAGAAGATGTCCATATGGAGAGTCTCAGACAGTTTGCTCATAACTTTGATCCAGTGGCGAGCCAGAGTGTGGATGCACTAACCTGTTGAAGTGGAACCATGTGTCGTCTTGGATAAAACCCATAAGAAGCGTCTGAGGGATCTTTGGAGGGCTTTACATTGTAATACACTAACTGGGTCATGTTGGAGTGTGTATGTTTGCTTCATTCATTGCGCCTCAACTCATTATCCCCACGGTCGTAGTGGCAGCATGTGGATTGTTCCTAATATCAGCGTGTCTCCGCTGCAGAGCCACTCCAAAATAGCTGCAGACACACAACTATATAACCCCCCTAATACTCGGCCCACATAGTCGAGCCGAACGGTTAATCACTGAAGACAAGCATATCAGAGGAGCTGTGCTGTTTGAAGATCAAAATTTATCTGAGGAAAAGTTCTGACAAAGACAAACTTCAAACAGGAAAGATTGCAGGAGTAAACAGAGAAGTAGCCACATAAAGAGTAAGTGTAAAGAAGGTTTGGTAGAAGAAAGGATCGGCAGAAAAGTAAGTTGCATTTCTCTTTTACTATCAAAAAAATATATAATTTTTATTACTTTATTATTCAAAAGAAAGTGTCCTCTTCACAACATCCCTTTTGTCCCATGAAATGCCACAAATTGCACTTTTAATGATTTGAAAAACATTGTAATGTCACAATGCATTGATGAGATTGTCAGCAAGATGATGTGTAGCCTCTGGACTAGACTAATGTCATGAGCAAATGGACCAAATTGGCAGAAAGAGACATTTTCTTAAAGTAAGAAACACAAGCACACAGGAGGAAAACTGTCAAAAGGGACGGTTTTCAGCAAATTAGGATGGAAGCAATTTGCGTGGATTCAACTAATGAGCATATAGTGTCTCAAAATCTAATCCAAATTAACTGGATAGTGATGCAACACATATGTCACCTTTTTAGCTACAGTTCCATATTTTCTGTTCTCAGTTATTTTTTGAAAAAGCCTGTCAGTCATGAAAATAACACGTGGCCAAGATGTTAAAGAAAAGAAGACTTTTAAACTTCAAATGCTGCTATATTCTCAGTGTCTAAGTTCCCCTCTGAGGAATTAAATCTGAGGGTTTTCCGATCTCTCATCCAGACTGA